TCAGTTTATTAGTGTCGCTTCAGCACCTTGAAATCGTCCACATGGTCGCATGGGACAGATCAGCATCTGCTCCCGGAAAAGCTATTTACATGAATCCTGCTTCCCATTAAAAAACACGCGATCAACACAGACGCACAGTCTAGAAATCACACATCACGCCAGGCCAGCCGCAGCCTCTGCCGCCCCTCCCGGGAGGGCGCGGGGGTCTGCGCAGCAGGGCTCAGGGAAGAAGTGCCAAAGTCATTCGAGGGGAGGACGGAGGCAGAAGGGAGGCCCGCAGGATGGGGCTGGGACACGCCACGGCACCGGAGCCGGGGCCACACCTCACCTCCCAGGTCGGATACCACCCATAACTGAGCTGCACACTGGGGTGGGGTGGCAGGACCAACTTGAAGGTAGAGGCAGCGCCCTCAACTGACAGGAAGCAGAGTGGAACCTCACATCCACGCAGGCTGTGTGGCCAGGCCTAAGGAACCTCAGGGCTAAGGCCTGTGGGATGCTTGCCTGTCAGGGGGCTTTGGTGTCTAGTCATCCTTCAAAGGGGCCAAAGTACTTCTCTATGAGTCCTCATCACAGCTCCATGAGGTAGGCAAGGAAAATGGACCATCTCTCTTTAACCAATGGGGAAACTGAGGCACAGGGATGACTGCTTCTCGGTCTGCACCTGGCACTGTTTGGTGGTGGGTGCATGGTGCTCTGGTGCTAGGCTTTACTGACTTCGCCTTGGGCCAGCTGCTGGACAGAGGCTCTGCCCACACCCTCCTCTTGTATAAAGTCAGACCTCTGGAACCAATCAAGTTAAGTTCTTCCAGAAAGGGACTGCCCTCAGGCATGAGCTTGACCTCTGCCCCCCCCCACACACACACACACATGGCCTCAAGGCTAGAATTCTAGGGCAGATCTTTCCTACCAAGGTTGGTGCTTGGGAAGAAACTCCAGGGACAGGTAAGCCAGGCTCTCAAGCTCCAAGGATCACAGTGGCCATCTTTCACCCCAGTAAAGGTTCAGAGTCCTCAAACTTAGCCTGCTCCATTCTTGGCAATTTTCTGAGGATACTCTTTAAGTTCTCAAGGTCAAGACACCAAACATAGAGCTCCCAAATGGACCACCAGGGTGCCTGGGAGTACCACAGCTTCCAAAGGGACAGGAACTTTTCCAATTGGCACCCCCAGGATAAAGGATTCTTGAGAAAATGAGGACTGAGGCAGTGTTCCCTTCATGAATCTGGTGGGGGCATGTACAGTCAGGATGGTTCTTGCTGTAGGCTAATACATCCCTCTCCTACTGAATGGGATCCAGGTGGCTTTGAGGAGCTTGGCTTGGATAGTCCCTTGGATAGTCTCTGTAGTTAGACCAGCCTGCTAGAGCCTTCACTGGCTACACTGCACGCACGCACACACGCACACACACACACACACACAGACTCACGCGCACGCACGCACACCTCTAGTTGCCTGTTTCCAGTTCACAAACTTGATTCTCAACTCGGACTCCACACAGCCAGTTCTGGATGCTCCTGTCCAGCAGGCAGAATAGAATAGAGGTGGAAGGGCATTGCAGAGCAAGTCTCAGACAGACCCCAGCAGTGTCTCCCATTTCCAGGACAGACTCTGGGAAATACGTAAGGACCACCTATCTAAGCAGCAGGATCCGCAGAAGCCTAGCCGTGCCTCTGGAACTGGAGCCAGAGGGACAGGGGTGGGGATGCTGCTCCTGCTGGCTCTGCCCCACCCAAGGGGACTTCACAAGAGCAACATCTGCTTGGCAGCTGCGTCGTCAAACGTATTTGAGAGCATTAGAAAGATCTGCTACTATAAAAGCTCCGCCATGAGGCTGGAGTTTATTGGGAACCACACCTGGGGGTGCCAGGGGTCAACATCCCATGCTAGGAGACCAACACGCCCTTCACCCTCAGCTTTTGGCCACTGGACTCCCCAAGAAAGCAGCATCCTGACTTCAGAAAGCACAGGACACAATGCCAAGAACATTTCTTGCTTGTGGCTCTGGGGTTTTATGAGACCAGGGTTCACCTCCCTTCTTACTAGCCTTTCTAGGGCCCACATATTCTGGTTAATAAGCAGAGCAGTTACTCGGTGGCCCATGGGCAGCTAGATTCCCCATAGTTTCTGGGCTATGGGCACATTCACACTTAAGACCGCTTCTTTGTGTTTTTAAGAGTCTGTCTCTGTAGTAACCGCATGTTAACAGAAACACATCTGTCTCTCCATCAGTGATGACGCAGAGCAGGACCCTCCGCTGTCCTGTGTCAGCCCTTCCACGGGTGGGGCTAGAAGGTGGCCTTGGAGTGTCCAAAGATGCAGATAGGGAAGTGTTTCACGTGGGAAGACCACTGGGCAGCCAGCTGAAAGAACTTGACGTCGCTGCACTCCACGCCATCGATGAGGACTGTGGAAGAGGCCCACCTAACCATCTGCCTGCCTGGCGACACAACCACCGGAGACGGCGGGCTGCTGCCAGGGGGCAGGGCAATCCTGAAGCTAGAAACCACCTGCCCTCCCAAGATTCAGCGCCATGCCACGGTGGCTCCACCTCCTCCTCACAGGGCCCTACTTAAAACACCTCCATTTCCAGGGGCAGCCTTAGGAAGACTCAAGGACGCTAAACTCACATAAGTCCAGGAGTCCTACACACAGTACAGACTCTGTAAGACACTTAGGTCTATAAGCCAATGTTTAAAATGCAGAAAGGAAGGACTGGGACAGAGCTCAATGGTAGAGCATTTGCCTAGCACACATGAGACCCTAGGTCTGATCTCTAGCAACCCCTTACCATGCATCCATCAATAAAAACACAGAGAAAGTTGAGAAGTTATTTGAACTTGAAAGGCTGTTAGATGCATGCAAATTCCTTATCAAAATGTGTAAGTATGCCTTTTATAGCAAAACAACCGTTTCCTGTGCTGGGTTTGGAAAGCCAGCCACCTGTTTTCTCTGCATTCACATTCACGGACAGAACCAAAAAGGACCCGGGTCATGGACTAAGTCCCCCAGCACCCTGTGGGGCAGCCCCTGGCCCATGCTCACCCCGAAGCATGTTCTGCTGGTGCTTAGCTGTGCAGATCAGACGGCTGATGCCTTCGATGCACTGGCTTTTAGACTCCACATCCTTATCCTTGGTTTTCTTGGGCAAAAACATCACTGGGAATAGAAGAGCCCTGCTGTTAATCCACTGCTTCTTCAGGGCCAAGCTGGCCAGAGCCCCAGCAGCAAGCAGGATGGCAGAGCAGTGGCCATGGGGACTTGGCTGGCCCCTGCTCACCTGGGATCCAGCTTCTTCTTCTTCTGTTTTTTTTTTTTTTGTTTGTTTGTTTGTTTTTCGAGACAGGGTTTCTCTGTGTAGCTTTGGAGCCTATCCTGGCAGTCGCTCTGGAGACCAGGCTGGCCTCGAACTCACAGAGATCCACCTGCCTCTGCCTCCCTAGTGCTGGGATTAAAGGCGTGCGCCACCAACGCCCAGCGGGATCCAGCTTCTTGCTGTAACCACACATCCTGCCTGATATTCTACCTGAAGCCAGAAGCTGCCCAGGCCCTCAGTGTCCCCACAGCTCAAGGGCCACAGCTGTCAGAATATGTCTGATTGCCAATCCCTTCTGAGGTAAGTGTGGGCTCGTGATTGTGAATTTACTAGAAACTTGCTAGGAGCTGGGGGGATGATAGCCCCATTACCGATAATCACCACAGAGACCCCTCTCCCATTGTCCAGCCCTGCTTGACACATTCCCATCTCACCCTTCTTGTTCTTCTCCTTGGTGACCACGGTCATGGACATGGTAGGTGTGGTTGCAGTCTCGCCACTGCTGGGCAGCCTGCTGACCTGGAGGGACCGGAAAGTGCACTTGAGCGTGTTTTTGGTGGTGGGCAGGTCCTTCTTCTCGGCATCTCTCTTCCTGTCTGCAGGCTGTGCTGCTGTCCAGTAGTCCACCTGCAGCCCCATGAGCTCAGCGCCGATGCCCTGGCTGAGAAAGGCGGAGGGAAGTGCTCACACTCATGCCGTCACTGAGCTGTTGTAGGCAAGGAGGTGTGGCTAGCACCTTACCCACTAACTTGCTGGCCAGTACCAGAGAACCATAAGAAGCTCTGCACAGCCAAATGCCCAATTTGTCTTCTAGGATACTATGAGTGCCCGTGGTCCTGGCAAAATTGCCATGCAACCTGCACACCTACTCTCCTAGGGCCTAGATGAAGAGCTTCATCAGAGATGGTTGGAGTGGCTGGTGAGACCAGGTGGCTAGAAGGGCCCTGACAGGACCTTAAGGCCATGTTCACCATGGACTCAAACTCCCCAGTTCAAGTTGGTCGTTTGAGTTCTGCTGGAGACTCTGGTGGCTTGGTAGGACTCAGCTCACTTGTGTGGGGCCTAAAGAGCTGTCTCTCACACCTCCTCCTTCAGTTCCTCTTGTAACACCCACTCTGTGCAAAGGTGCTTGAAGGTTCAATGAGCCTCATGTCCACTTATGGCAACTCCTTTCTCAAGGAGCACTGCAGACACCACCTACTTCCTACACTGCTCTTCGGCAACTGGACCCAGCCCCAGTGTCCCTCATGGGCCCGCCACCACTCCCTCACCAGCATCTGCCCATTACTGCTCTGACAAGATGTCACCTTAGAGCAAATAAAATGACAGCCATGTTGCTTACCTGGGAGAGGACAGACCTCCACTCACTGAAGGGGAGGAGGGTGGGGTGGGTGAAGCCTCCTTGGCTGCGGGAGATGTAGACACAGACGGTGGGGTAGAAGAGAGAACACTGGAGCCTGAGGGGGCTGCGTCGTCCGAGTCTCCTTTGGGGAGGAGTCACAGGCCAGTGGTCAGACAGCTGCCTAGTCTGGCCCCACAGCTGGCTGGAGCCTGGACTAGGGCTGGGGAAGTAGGGTAGGCAGAGGAGCTTATGTGGGGGCAAGATGTTATCTTTCTTGGCCAGAAGAACTGCCTAGTTTGCCTTGATCTGAGGCTTTGTGAGTATAGGAGACTCAGCAGAAACCTGCTGGTCCTTAAGAAGGGAGGGACCACCTATCCAGAGGGCCACCCGAACAGGCCTCAGGGAGGGTGAAGTTACCTGATGTGGCTGAAGACGGTTCCACAATGCCAACCTTCACAACCTGGGAAGTAACAGATGCTGACTAGAGGCAGGTGGGGAAGTTGAGAAGCCCTACTGCTCTGCTTCCGCACAACCTTGGCGCTCGTCTCCTACGTCCCTGCTGCTGCCCAGCTTCTGTGCCCACAGAACAGAAAACAGGTCCCAGCATCCTCCCATCTATAGGCATGGCCCAGCTCTGGGCAGTGGCAAATCCCATGTGCATGTGACTGGCCAGTCCTAGATATCAGACACAGATGCTGGCAGGAGAAACATGGATGCAGAAGCAGTGGCTGCTTCATGGTACTGTGTGGGCCAAGGGGGAGAGTGCTTCAGGCTTGAACCATCCAGCATGGTGCCATTAGCCACATGAAGCTGTGTCAATTCAGAGTGAATTACAATACCAAATCCAGTCTCATCCATGCCAGGTACCCATGGGGCCCGGAACAGGATGCTATAGAGATAGTGTCACTGCCTGGACAGCAAGTCTCATGTTGCTCTAGAGTTCTCATAGCAGGACATTTCTGCTAAAGATGGAAAGGCTGTGAAAAGAGGACTGGGAATGAGCCTGACACCTCCACATCCAGTCACGTCTAGCCTATGCCAGGAGGTACAGCCCTGCCTGAGCAGACCTGTCAGGAGCCTCATCCTTACCTTGTAGACAGGGCTAAGCCTCCGTGCCTGAGTGCCAAGCTGACAGCCTGACACATCTCCCCCAGAATACGGGCTTATACTCCCACGTATTCACTACGGGAACCAAAAGCTCCCGGACCAAAAAAAAAAAAAAAAAAAAATGCAGGAAGGAAGCATGGGGGATTTATGAGAAGGGATTAAGCAGTCCTCAGTTGCCTCCCAAGGTGAGGAGGGGTCTTACATATGTAAGATAACATTAATGCACTCTATATTGACAGGGATCTTGGCAGGCATGTTCCCTGTGAGAGAAACAGGTGATACTCACCCCAACAAAGGGAATGAATCTCTGAGAGGATTCTTCATCAGGGCTGGGAGTAAAAAAAAAAAAAAAAAAAGAAAAAGAAAGAAAAAAAAAGAAAAAGAAAAAAAAGAAAGAAACTATTAGACTCCATTCTGGAGTACTCCAATCTCAGCTGTCCTTCAGCCCGGAGACCAGGCCTACTCATCCCTAGCCCCTACCCACCATGGCCCTCAGCCACACCACCTGTTCATATGTCACCACAGGAAGCCCCTGGATGACCTGGCTGATACTTGAATATTTTCCCATATGTCAACATAACCAAAAGCAGAGGATCTCCACATCCCTGGGAGGAAGTCAGTGTGCTCATGACTCTTGAGGGAAATTACTTTTATCACAGGGGCCTGCCTGCTCTGCCCTGTCCACTTGCCTGTTTCCAAGCCTACCAAGCCAATTCCGTGTTCTGTGTGCATTCCCTTATGGAGTCCAGAACCGGGCCTTCTCCAGTGACTGGGGTTGCCCTTACCAAAACCAGTGCATGGTTTTTTCCCAAGTCTGGGAGAAGTCTGGCTTCTATAGAAACCACAGTGTTGGCTAAAGTGCTGGAGTGGAGATGCTAGGTTCTAACAGTAATAGGTTCTAACAGTAATATCTAAGTGTAGCTTGAAGCCCGAGCAGGTTCTTGGGACAAGTTTGAATAGCTGACCAAGATTAGTGACTGGATGAGGCACTGTCTGAACTTGACTGTATAGCATTTGGCAGAACAGTAGCTTGTCCCAGAAGTGTTAGTCATGGCCCATCTACCATGAAGATGCCAAGGTCTGAGGTCAGGAGCTGACATGAAAAGTCATTTGTTGTCTTCCTTCCGTGCACTGCCCATGAGGGCTAGGCATGCGGTGCACCTCTGAGGAGGCCCCCTGAAAGCCAGTCTCCTGTAAGGTATAGCCTCAGCTTGGGGCACATGGTTCCATCAGCACTCTGAGTGTGTCCTTCTCCATCTCTTGGGAGGACTGACGGCAGGGCTGGTTATGGTGGTGGGCCAGGCCTGTTTCTTCGGTACCCTTCCTGCCTGCCCTCCCCGATAACACCCTGATCTGAAGAGCATGTTAGCAGCTGGAGTCATTTCTTCATCTTGTATCCTCACACTGGTGCTAGATGCCGGTGCCTCTGTTGCAGAGATAGGTGTGCACGTCAGGCCAAGGGCCGAGATGGACGGGCTTCTCCCTGTACCCAGGCTTGGGGAGGTCCCGCACTACAGCAGGTGCAGCCTACCATGATTTTCAGCCAGATACCTTTCTGGGAAACACAACTTGGGAAGTGTGTGCCCTGGTGGGGCAAAGGCTTGTTCCCATTGTTCCCACTCACAGTGTACCCACAAGATAGACCAGGAGCCTATGCAGTGGCGGGGAGAGGGGGGTTCCTTTCTCTGTCCTCCCCACACCCAAAGACCTGGCAGCTAGCCCAATGGAGACGGCTAAATTCCCAGCCTCCCCTTCCTTCCCAAGGAGGGCAGTTTTGACAAGAGAAACCTTCTCTTTTGTCCATTCCTCGGACTTGACTCCTGGCACGGATCTGCCCTCACCTGTCCACTTGACAACATTCAGGCCCAGAAGGTTTTAAAAGGCAGGCAAGCATAGCGGTTCCTGATGCGGAAGGCTCTAACCCACTGTGCCACCCACACTCTGTAGGCCCTCTAGGACCATGGCAGAGCAGCCTCTTATCTGTGGTCCACTCTAAGACACTTGGGAACAGAGTAGGGCTGACAAGGCCATAGGAGTGTGTGACAAGACATAGGAGACACTGCAACATGGAAAAGCTACCGGAACTTGAAAGCCAAGCTGTATCCAGGGCCATGCAGACAGAACTAACGAAGGTTCAGCAACTTTGACACCAGGGCCACATTGCATCCTGGGCCATGCAAACAGCAGCAGCACGGGGGCAACAGCAGTGACACTGGCGTGCTAACCGAGAACCTGGATGCAGAGGCGGCCAGGGCCTGCAACACAGGTCCTTGTGGAGGTCTAAGAACCACATCCCTGATCTGTTCCCAAGACCTGCCACGATGCCAAAGACACGGAACCTAAGTCTGAGGACTGTTCCTCCTACATACACCAGAGTAGAAGGCTGGAGCACATGCTGTCCCAGTATGACCTGAGGGCTCCGCTGCCATCCGAGGACAAGCTCCATTCCCAGCTTCAGGTAAGACACACCCTGCCAGAGTGCTACAGGGAAGGCCAGGCAGCATGGGTCTTCACTGGTTCTTTGCGGTGTCCCCTGCCCACCTAGTGCCGGTGTCACTACTGTATCACAGGCAGAGGCAGCTATGGAGGAGAGAGTGCCTCTCCTCAAGCCTGGTTTTATTAGATTTACCAACAGCCCAGGAGAGCATGCTGCGGGCTCCTCCCACCACAGCCGGCCGCACAGGCCAAGCCTCAAGGCAGGAAAGGCACGAAGGCTGGTCTTTCTCTAACATGGGGGCTTGTTTAGCAGGACAAACTGATACTTTGTTGTCATTTTGTTTTGTTTTGTTTTGCAAGACAGGGTCTGTGTAGCTTTGGAGCCTGTCTAGGAACTCGCTCTATACACTAGGCTGGCCTCCAACTCAGAGGTTCACCTGCCTCTGCCTTGCAAGTGCAGGGATTATAGGTGTGCCACCGCCACTGGGCAGGAAAACTGGTATTTAAGGACCTCCTCTGTGTCCTGCTGGCTCGGATAATGGATAGCACTACCAGGGATGAGGACCCTGACTCTGTCCTGGACACTCTTCCAGGAGATATCTTGAGGCAAGTGTGGCAGACAGTGGGCAGTACCCTCTCAGGAAGTAAAGGGCAGCTCAGACGGTACCTGAGAGTGGTCAAGCTTTCAGAGGGTGAAGCCTTCCCAGGGAAGAAAAGCACTTTACCCCTACTTAGGGAGACCTGGCTACCTCCCCAAAGAAGCTAGAAAAGACACTACCAATCCTCTCTATGCCTCTGGCCCTGGGAGTGGATTTTATAGTGCAGACAGTGGTGAAGGCCCCTGCCATACTGTGCCTCTCCTTGGCCTCTTACCACCATACTCTTAAATTCAGGACCTACACTGCTGGTGCCACACCCTTCTGGGGCTATGTGTGTGGTCAGATTACTGCTACTGTTAAGAGTGAGGAGTAAAGCCAGCACCAGGTCAACATAAGCTTAGTTTAACAAAAGGCTTTAAAAGCACAAACTCCTTGGGGTTGGCTCTGTGGGCTAAGGACCCATGTGCAGTTCTCCCAAGAAAGAGGTTCATCATTCCTGCTCCTCAAGGGATTGGGACGGCATCAGAGGAGAGGCGCTTGGGCAAAGATCCTACTAAACAAGCCCTAAAGACCAGCCTAGAGACAGACAGGGGTATAGGCCAGAGAGCTGTACCTCAGGGTAAAGTCAAAGTGAAAGTGCTTTTTCCTTTTTTGGAAAGCCACCAAGAGAGAAAACACAATTGTTAGGACACCCAGGAACAGCAACAAGTCCTCCACACACTGAGGTAAGAGTAGAGGGGTCCTCATGGTCTGGATGCCTCGTTATCTACCTTGATCTGGGGCAGCAGCTTAGGGGGTGGGGGGATGAGGGTTCCTAGAGGATCTGCCCCTGCCACCAGGAGGCATCAGGAAGCAAGGCTGGACTTCTCTGCTGACTTACTACCCTGGATCAGCATTCAACTATCTTCCAGTCTGGGGAAGATGGTGCCATTGGCTGCAGGGTCTATGCCTCTCCTGGGCAGGGTGCTGGGCCCACTTTGGACACCAAAGAGGAGGCTACCTTAGGCTCAGACCACTGCCTATTGCTGTGGATCAAGATGTAGGGCTCTGTTACCTCTCCAGCACCATGTCTGCCTGCACACCGCCATGCCCCACCATGATGGCAATGGACTGAACCTCTGAACTGTGAGCCACCCAAATTAAAGGTTTTCTTTTATAAAACTTGCCATGGTTACAGTGTCTCTTCACAACAATAGAAACCCTAACTAAAACGGTAGATTGTCCGGGGTCTGAGCCAAGAAAGAAATCTTCAGTTGTCTAAGATCCAGTGTGGAGGAGGCTCTGCCCAGGGCCCTCGATTCTTGGGAGGAAGGATCTGGATTCACTCTGTCCAATCTTTCACAAATAATGGGCAGATGGAGTCATGATCTGACTGTTCACCCAGAGGCCAAAGCCAGGGTCAGGGAACCTGGGGGAAGGAGCCATGTGGAAGACACATGACCACATGTGAGGACTACAGGGACAAGTGCAGTGCCTGTGACTACGTCATATAGAATGTTAACATGCACAAAAATAAAAGGTTCTGAAAACCCAACCTGGTATTCTGATTTGACAAGGGTTCACTGTAGGCACAGTCAGCCAGGGTTTTTTTTCCCTTGAATCTATGCCACAGACTCCATGGAGCAGAGGGGCCGGGTACCTCCGCCTGGGGCCCCCAGCCCTGGCCCACCATGTTACCTCTTCTGCTTGTAGGTCAGCATGGCCTCTGCGATGGGGAGCTGGTGAGCACAGTTGGCCCCCGAGATGTACTGCGTGATGCGCGACACGATGTCGGGCGTGTCCTGCACTGCACAAGGCAGAGGTGGCAGAGGGTCAGCATGCTGACGAGGTGGCATCTGCTGGGCTCTGGGCTGTGACCCAGGCTCTCTATCCTGGCTCTTCTCTATCTCTGCTTTCTGTTAGCTGCCTCTGGCTCAAGTGCCCACCCACAATGGTGCTGGAGGTGGGGTGGGGGTGCCAGGGTTCCTTCTCAAAGGCCTGTTCTGGAGCCCTCTGTCTGCCCCTTCCCAATGGGGCACAGCAAGTCCCGTAACACCCCCTCCCACCCTACAGCTGAGCCTGAGAAGTAGGGTCTGTTGTGATGGGACATCCCCAATAGAAGGGGCCTTTTCTCCAATGCAAGGGAATGTAGAGCATGGGATAGCCCCCCTCACCAACACAATGCCCAGGCCTCACCACTGCTCTGGGCTTCCAGCTTGTTGAACAGGTCTCTCCAGGCCAGATCCTGGAAGAAGTTGTTGTAGCGGTAGTCCACAGAGCCCAGGTACCTGGCCACAGGGTGGGAGCCTGGGAGCCCCAGAAAATCCATCACCATGTGGAGTTGCCCAACCGCAGACAACCCAGCTGTCCCGAGCCCCTCTGCTGTAAGCCTGCAGGGGAACTATGACAAAGTCCTCACTTCCCGCCCCCGCTCTACCAGGGGAGGCAAATGAGATAAACAAAAGCCAAAGGTGAAGGCTGGAAGATCAATGAAGGTGATAAGACAAGGGCCCCAGGGGAGAGGCACTGCCTTTAAACTTCACTACTGTTCCACAAATAAATAGAACTCCAAATGCCTGCTGGAATTCAAGTCCACAGGGCCACAACTAACTATAAAGACTGCTTTGTATTTTTCGCAATAGAAACCAAAGCTCATGTGGAGCTATCTGTGGTAGACCTAGTTTGTCCTGCAACACATTCTACACGATTAGGACATTTGTCAAAGAGAGGAAAACAAAGTGACAGTAAGACGAGGTTCCAGGCTGATGGAGAGCATTTGATCCTCAGCTTCCAAGTGCTAGGGCAACAGGCAGAATACTGTATCTGGCACACACGACTTTAAACAGTGAAAATAACTGAATCTTTAAACAACAGAAGCAAGTCATATCGGTACCTCTACCCTCACCAGGCTGTGTGCCTCTCTCTGAGGTCTCTCAGGTTTAGTCACAAGGCCCCTCACCCAGCGGGATGATGAGGAAGCGCATGTAGCCAAGCCAGTCGGGCGTCTTGTGGGACAGCTGCTCCACGAAGAGCCGCAGGATGGCGCTGAGGTAATGCTGTGCTCCGGCCACTGCGATCTTCACAGGAGTTGGTGGCTGAGAATTGCAGTTACAGCTGCGATCCGAGAAGGTGGGGCAGAGAGGGACAGCTGCCTTACTGTCTCTGGCCCAGGGTCACCCTGCTGAGCTCTAGGAAGCCTATGCCCCCTACGGTGCAGGAGCTACAAAACCCAGGGTGCCCCACCAAAAGGAGTTCTGAGTTTGGGGACAGGAAGCTGAATGTCTGCCTGGCTACGCCTGGGCCAGAAGACTGCTCAAGGCCTCTGCTGGGATCACTGCAACAGGAAGCAGCCCACCAGAGAATGCTTCTCCCCCTTGTCAGCCCTAAATGAGCTTCAAGATGTCCACTGGGAGTCAGAATGAAGCCCCGAGGAGTCTGTGGGCGGCACATCCAGAACCATCCTCGATTCTCAGGATCAAATATACCGCCCTCCACAGGGCAGGCAAGGCTCCAGGAGACACTCAGGCAGAAATGCCAAGGGTGGTGCCCCAGGTAAGGAAGGATGGCAGACTCACTAGCGCTGTATCCGAGAGACAATGGTGCTGAAGGCGGCCTGCACATCAGCAGCAGAACACGTGCACACCACAGGAAGTGTGTGCTTCTGCAGGACATCTGAGAGGAACTAGAGAGGGACAAGCGGACACTGACCTTGGCATAGCACCTGGCAGTCCCTATTCAACCCTCATCACAGGTCCCACAGGGTCCACAGGCATGCAGGCAAAGCTGATCATCAGCCCTGTCCCCACTCCTGCAGCAAGGACTGGTGTTCTTCAAGGCCACATGAAGCCTCAGGTCCCCAGGAGACGGGGCACACCGCTGGCTGGATCCCTTACCTGTCCCTGCCAGTCAGAGGTGTTGACGAGAATGATATTCTCGGGGAGTTGGTCATCAGAGACGAGGATATGGTTCAGTTGGTCATACACAGTTTTCCTGGGAATCTAGAGACAGTGTGGTGTCCAAACAAGGAGGTGCAGCACCCAGGCCTTTCAACTTCCAGCTCTGGGCCTCAACACTCCACACCCCAAGCCTGGGAGCAAGTAGGGAAGCGCCTAACATGGAGGTCCCTAGGTCTTGAGTGGCCACACTTGGGGTGTCTCTGATTCAGAGAGAGCAACAGGATGGCTAAAACTAGCCCCAGGGTCAACAGGCTTCTACAAGAGGACCTATGACTGCCTTCCTGTCTGCAAGGGACTTCATGCAAACCCTCATGGTCTGCCCAGTCCTCAGGGCCACCAGGCCTCTCTGCTCTGCCTGCCACTTGGCACATCATCCCTCAACTCCCATCCTAACCTGCAGCTGGCTCCTCGTGTCTGGACAGCGCTCATTGTCTAGGCTGTTGGCCCGCTCGTTCTGTGGTCGAGCCGGCTGCCGCTCTTTCAGGGACGTGCTCCGGCCCCTGCGACCAGCTGGCTTTGTCTCTGACCTGCTAGAGACCAAGAAAAGCAGAAGAGAGCAGCTGGGGTGGCAGGCCAAATGTTCACCACAGGGTGCACACTGAATTATCCCTCAACAGCTGCCACCATTCCCACCCGGCAGACCCTGAGATGTGACACTGCCCTCTCCTCAGCACACCCTGGGCCCTCAGCAGCTTCATTTCCAACAACAGCAGGGTGGAAGTAGGTGGCACCTCTTGGGCACACTGGCCTTATGGTTGCAGGCCAGCAGATGGCCAGAGGCAGCTGCTTCTGACAGACGAGGTGGGGGACCCACCTGCAGTTTCTGGAGTTGGCCCAAATAACTGGCTTCCCACAACCCTTCCCCAAAGAGGTACATGTTCCCTCAGCACAGAGCCGCACCTGGTGGAGGGGATGACAAGCGACTCGGTCTTGGTGATTCTTCCGCTGGGTGGCAGCTTCTCAGTGAACACATCCAGGGTAATGGTCTCAGCCTCTGGGCTGTTCTCAGGTTGTCCTGATGGTTCCCGAGGGGCTGGGGAACTCTAATGGATTGAGAAGGAGACATATGCACCTACCTGACCAGAAACATTTACCATGCCTCTCCTGTCTGTGTGCCCTGGTTTAGGGCAAGGCTCTGGGCTTCCTCTGACCTAAGGTCTTTGCATGAGGCACAGACACATAGAGAGAAGGGGAGAGGTACTCCTCTCCTACAAGCAGTTTCTGATCCAACTATTACTAAGAGATCAGCACCAAACCTGCTGGAAACCCCACCCACCCTGAACCCTATCTCAGAGACTCCATGAAGGCCTGGGTCTGATAGCAAGGCTAAGGACCCAGCCATCAGCCATCCACCTGAGCTACCCGGCTAATGTCCAAGGAGGGTGAACCAAGGGTGCCCTGAACGCCAGGCAGCTGTCATCCCTGAGGGTGATGCGCACACTTTCAGAGCATATGAACACAAAGCCCTCGGGAGGGGGGGGTGCACTTGGAGCTTGAGCTCTGCTGCACATGGTGAATGCTCCCCACGCCTGCTTACAAGGACCATCGTGTCAGAAGTGCTGTCACTTGGTTGCTGTCCTCCCAGGGACCTCATCTTCTCAGGGACATCAGCCTGCAGAGATGAGACAGGAACTGGGCTGTGATGCAGAATGAGGAAGCCCAGGGAGCTGGCTGGCAATTTCACAGACTACGAGCTCAGGATGACAACAGAAGAGTCACCTTCTATTGGGCAGAATCCTGAGCCCAGGACATATCACAGCCTAGCTAGGTATATGCTGACTAGGCGTTCAGACTCACAGGGGCAGGAGAATGAGATCCCAGCCTGGTCTAAGGGTCTCACCACTGCCCACCACAGCCCTACTCACCGGGCTTGGAGGCTCCCTGTGGCTCCGGGCACTGTGGATACTCCCTATCTCTGTCTGTGAGCTGGAGTGTGACAGGCCTTCGAAGTAGGGCCTGGATGAAGAAGGAGTAGATGTTATTCCCCAAGATCCCCTATGTACTGAAAATGAGGTGCAACCCACTGCACACAGAAGGAAAAGCAACACAGAACTCAACAGCAGAACAGAGCTACAGCCAAAGAGCCCGGCAGTGTGGAAGAACTGTGTGACTACACACACACCTGAGGGAACCTTACACATGTGGTAGGATTCTGGAGTGACTCGACTCCAGGCGGGCACAGCTCCTACACTGGCTATGAAGTCAGTGCAGAGACTGTGTGCTCCAGGGCTGGTGAGGTGGCTCCATGGGTAAAGGCACCTGCTGCCAAGCCTGAAGACCTGAGTTTGATCCTTGGGACCCATCTAGTGGGAAGGAGACAGGAAACCCTAGCAATTTGTCCTCTGACCTCCACACTCAGGCTATGCTATGGCAATGCATGTCATCTTCTATAATAAAATTTAATTTAAAAAAAAAAAGAAGAAAACCCTATCTGCTCATGGTGTTTTCCCCACGGTGGGGCTGCCAACAACACAGGAGACTGGAGACTGGGTGTGAGCAGTGTGTGCCTCAGTGCTCTTAATGGGGACTGCCCCTGTTGAGAGCCTTGACATCTGTAGCCAGATCACAGAAAGCACAACATTCTCAACAGCACAAGGGCACCATGGCCAAGTTCAGAGCATCTAAGCCATTCTAGACATATTCAGACAGTTCCAGATAATCTGACACCCGAGGCCACAACAGACCAAGTGTGACAAAGCCATTTCAGACTAATCTAGAATAGCCCTGACTCCAGACCAACAAGGCCAACTCTTGACAATCCAGACCAACCTGGACCAATGTTATCTGTCCTCACCAGATAATGTGAGTAAAGAAATAGGAGATGAAGAAAGCAGAAAACCAAGAGACTTAAAGACGTCAAGCTGACGTAGCAGACAGGGTGCCTGCATGGCCGTACGGGTGACGGCGCGATGCAGAGATCTAAAGAAGCAGGGTGTCTGTCACCTGTGCATGGCCACTCAGGATCATGGCCCCAAAGGGATCACACATCACCCCGAAACTACAGGCATTAGCTGGCCAGGGACTAAGTCACCAAAGCTAATGTCCTGGGGCTCATGATAGGGAGGATCTGTACTCTCTGGGTAGACCCCAGACAGAAGTCAGTTTATCAAGGAAAATACTCAAGTCTAAAATATAGGATACAAGGCAGGAAGGACCAGTGTTGGCACCAGGGGGACTGAAGTGGAGGAAAACAAGGAACACTAGTTTGCTTGACCTAAAGGGCAGCCCCTCTCATGCCAGCTGTTCAACACCCTGACCCGAGCCCAGAAAGACATGGGTAGAAAAGGAAGCCAAAGCCTGAGGATGCCACCCCAGAATGGGGAGCATAATAGATGGTGGGATTTATTTTTTTATTTATTGAACAATGTCTGACGCTATAGCCCAGTTGCCCTTACACTTAGTAATCCTCCTGCCTCAGTCTCCCAAATGCTAAGACTACAGGCATGAACAACCAAGCCCAGCAGTACTAGATAATTATTCGCCACTGAGATTATGGTTAATTAACTGCAAGACACATGAATTCAAATTTCTTGTATGTGCTTTTCATTATTGCCCAGGTTAAGAACTTAAAAAATGAAGGGTTTTTAGCTTTTTGGAACATCCTGAGTCTCCCTGTTCTCAGTAGCTACACCAAGATCCAACTCTATACACTACTTGTTCGAGGGCTAAGCTTCTCCAGGCCCGCACGTCCACAGCACACGTGTGTGGGGATGGCCTGCTTTCCTTTTCCTTCTGCCCTAGGCCAGGCTTGGCCAGCTGTCCTCGCAGCCAAACTAATGAGGGGAGCTGGCTGGGGCTCCCCCCTCTGCTGCTGGTACAGTCGACCCTGTAGTTTCCAGCATACCTCCAAAGTGATGGAGTGGGGCAACCCGGGGCCACGCATTCCTCCACAGCCTGCCTCAAGAGCCAAGCTCGGCCTCACAGAGAACCTTCCAGCTCAAGCCCTTTCCCACATGCCCCCCTCTCCCCTCCAGATGGTTCTGCCTGTCTAAAGTTCCCAATGCAGTAGTTACATCCTTCCACACCTGCCTTTCTACAAAGGCCACCGCGAGAACCTGACTGGCCATGTCCACCCACTGTAACCTTGAACTCAACACCGTAGGTTGTCCCCTCTCAGGATGTCCCTGTCCATCTAGCCTAGGGGAAGCCCACAGCGCCCCAGGGTTAAACATGCGTCACAGCCACAGGGCAACTCAAACCAACCACATCACTCCAGAACAATACTGTCAGCTACTCAGGATTCCTTCTGTGCAGGATCCAGCTTATTAGAGGTGACGACTTCAACCTGGCATGGCTTACCTAAGCTTGGGCTTGGGGGTGCTGAGGACGCTGTCATCGTCGTCCATGTCAGGGCCACTGTCGCTGGGGTGGTCCACATCCAGCGTGTCATACAGAAGATCCAGGTCCTCCTCCACCTCAGGGACATGTTCTGCAGGGTCCTGCTCCGAATCTAAGACCTACAGCAATGCGGACATGTATGAGAGGCCACAGGGGCCTGCGCCACTGCAAACAGTGCCACAAAACAGCATGGAATTGCCCAGACATCCTATTTGGTTTGCTTTTTCCCGTGTGTGTGTGTGTGTGTGTGTGTTCATAAGACAGAAGCTGATATCAAATATCTTCCTTTAAGCCTGGCTTAGTGGCTTACGCTTTTGATCCCAGCACTTGGGAGGCAGAGGCAGGTGGATCTCTGTGAGTTCAAGGACAGCCTGGTCTAGAGAGTAAGTTTTCAGACAGCCAGGGATGTTAGATAGAGAAACCCTGTCTTGAAAAATAAAAAAACAAAACAAACAAATAAGAAAGAAATGCTGGTGAACAAAACTGAGGCTCTGTGCCTGTGCAGTAAGGGCTTTGCTCACTGAGCCTCGTTCCAATCCCTGGTGTTCACTGCTCTAACTTAGGAACTGGGATCCCTCACAAAGACCTCAGGTCTAACTACCCACCTGTGGGCATAAACTGTCCAGGGTGTGTCAGCACAGAGTGCTCACACCTTGTGAAGCGCACAGGCAGTCAAACCTGGACAGCACACAAGGTCCTGTCATTGTCTCCTCAACCAAGACATGAGGCTCTTGTCTCCCAGAAAGTCCTCTTGGTCTGGAAGAGCCCTGTTTGTATTCTCCCAGGAAATCCCTGATCAAGGCTGCTGTGCTAAGTCTGAAGGTGTCTCCCATAGAGATGGTGTCAGAGTGTCGATCAAAGGAAGCTTCTGAGCTTCACGTTGAAGGGCCTCACATGAAGGCAGAGCTCTCAAAAAGATTAGTGACCACAGGAAAAGTGCACACAGACACACAGACACATCAACAGACAGACAGACAGACAGACAGACACACACACACACACACACACACACACCCCACATCTTTGAAGACCACGTCTTCCCCAGACTCTGAATCTCCTAAGCCTTGGTATTGGACTTCCAGCCTCTAGAACCATGATGAGCAAGACATGCTGGTTATTCCATTCATTACCCAGCCTAAGACAATCAGCCCAGAGAAGCAGGGGCCACTGCGTGTGGTGTGGTGGTGGAGCAGGAGACCAGTAAAAACAGAGCAGACCCAAAAAGAAAGTATGTGGTTGTGGAAACCGGAGGAAAGGTCATTTTCAACAAAACAGAAAAAGGTTGGTAGATTTGCAGGGTCTGGGTCTGGGTATTTTATGGAAGACAGAACTTGTAAATGACAAAACAAGGTATCTGGCAAAATAAGACTCCAATTTGGAGGGAGCCAAGTTACCTCTCTTGACAGTTTATCATAAAATGCCAGGGGGAAAATGAGGTAACATCAAAAGAGAACTGTATCTTAAAGATTTGTTAAAGTCTCAGCAAGAGCATGTTGTAGAGTGAAAGCAGGAGATGGAGAGACGGTTCAGCTGTTTATAGTGTGCACTGCTCTTATAGACAACCAGAGTTCAGCCCTCAGCACCCCAGTCAGGTAGCTCACAACTCTTTTTAACCCCAGCTCCAGAGAACCCCAAAGACTTTTCTGTCCTCTGTGGGCACTGCAGTCCTGTGCACAAACACCCACACAGATGTGCGAGCACGAGCACACACACACACACACACACACACACACACACACACACACACACAAAGTATTTGGGGCTGGAGAGATGGCTCAGGGGTTAAGAGCACTGACTGTTCTTCCAGAGGACCTGAGTTCAATTCCCAGCAACCACATGGTGGCTCACAACCATCTAGAATGGGATCTGGTGCCCTCTGCTGGCCTGCACTGTATACATGATAAATAAATAATCTTTAAAACAAAAACAAAAGTATTTTAAAATTAAGTCTGTTTGGCCACAAGAAGTCTGAGGAGATCAATATGCATAGAGTGTGGGGAGCTACTCCACAGGGTGATGAGAGGTGACCCAAGATTGGCCCTGAGGACAGTGAGTGTCAAGTGGCTGTCCCTGAGGCACAAGGCTTCGTCTTCACAGGGCCCAGGTGTGGTCAGGCCCCTCACATAGCACAGGAGGCCAATCCCTGCAGCACCTATAGGTGCCAACTCTCAGAAATATGGTCATTTTAAAATTGTTGTCACAGGGTGCGCTGTCCCAGGCAGAGGCCAGGGATGGAAGCAGGGCCGGGTCTAAAAGGACCGACTGCAGTAAAATACAGAGAAGCCACAACAGGGGAGCTCTGAGAAGCAGAACTGCAGTCTCTGACCACAGTGCCAGCCCAGAAGAGCCACAAGGCACACCATCTGAGACACTGTAGGCTGTGCCTAGTGACACTGTGGGGTGCACTTCTGGGCCCTAGAGCCCCAGCTCCAAGCCAATGTGTCCTGAGAGCAGATCATTGAACCAAAGATGGGTTTTAAAACCTTAAGATTCAATGTGTGGGGAACAGAAAGACAGAGCAGCAGTGCAGAGCACTGGCTGCCCTTGCAGAGGGAGAGAGCTCAGTTCCCAGCACCCACACGGCAGTTCCAGGGGATCTGATGCTCTCTTCTGACCTCTGATGGCACCAGATATGCACACAGTGCACATGTATACACACAGGCAAACACTCATACCTATATAATAAATCAATCCTTTTTATTTTTTTTTAAGATTCAGTGTTTGAAGCAAGTAAGAGTACAGGGAATTTCTGCCAAGTCTAAGGACCCGAGTTTGATCCCTGCAATTCACATGGTAGAATGAGAAAACAGACGTCTTCTGACCTCTACACGCACGCATGCACGCACGCACACACACACACATGTACAAAAAAATTTACCCTACTCCCCCTTTCTCATTTTAGAACACAGTATCTGCCCTATGCTGGTCTCATAGTTGTCTTGGAAAGCATACACTCTGAGCTCACACCTGGATAAGGACTGATGTAGACAGTACTCAGACATTATAATTTTTACGAATCTGAGTTGATGCTAGAGTCAATTAAGATTTTAAGGGCTGTTGAGATAGAATGATTTTGTGTAAGGGAAAAAATGGATTTGGGGGTCTAGGGGCAGAATGTTTTGATCTGAATATCTGTGTCCCCTAAGTTTTTTTTTTCCTTCTGTGTAGCCCTGGCTGTACTGGAACTTGTTCTGTAAACCAGGCTTGTCTTGACTCAGAGATCCACCTGCTTCTGCTTCCTGAGATCTGGGATTGCCCTGCCACAACCTAGCTTCCCTTAAGTAAGAGCAGGCCTTTGGAACAGCGCTGTTCTGGCACTGTGTGAGGGTGAGAAGGTGCAGTTCTGTCTATGAGGATTTAGCCTTCTCCAGATGAGAATCTGCCAGTACTTTTTAGCCTTTCAGTCTCCAACTATGGACAGTATCCTTTGGATGCACTTTAAAGAAAAATATGTATATATGTGCAACTCACCTAGCATTTTTTTTAATTATTATTATTTTATGTGTATGGGTGCTTTGTGTGTATGTCTTTGCACCACATGTGTGTCTGGTGCCTGGTCTGTCTCTCTTTGAGATGCAAGCTTCAAGATTTAGGGCCTAGTGGCTATCCCTGGAAACAGGCCAGTGATGTTTCGGGGTGGATGCTGGCCCTACAGGAAGCCCCATGGCTGAGAAGCGGCATCCTCAATACCTGTCCATGTGACGAGCAACAGTCGGTGCTGCGCTGAACGGGACCCTGCTGCTGCGGGGTGTGGCCCGTGCATACACTGATGCAGAGGGTGGGTGCACACTCTGAGGGTCAAAGAGCCAAGTGTCCCCTCTCTACTGTGGGCCCATAATCTTGACTCTGTTTTGTGATTTTTCTTTTGACTAAGAACAAACCCAATACCTAAAACTGGGGATTAGAGAAATGCTAAGAAACCAAAGATCTGTGGCACGCTGGCCACAGAACAGGCTATACATGGCAGGAGCTGGGGGCATGGAGATTCTGTGTACCTCCTACTTACTTTTCCTATGAACCTGAAGCTACTCCCTCAAGTAGTCTAAAGAACCATGATTGGCACTCTGCTGGTCTCTGTACAGGTGCACCAGTAACCTGGCAGCTCAACAAACACCAGTGGGTAAGCCTGACTCTTTGCTGGCCTCTCACAGCTACCATCAAGGCTGGCAGGCAGAGGGGATACACCACACCCACAGATGGTAAGTGCAGGCAGACCACGCCCGGAGCTTCACTGGAGCACATGGTACCCAACATGACACCAGCGCACTTCAGCGGCTGTGCCACGCCCTGGCCCACTCACCTCCTCTGACACTTTAAACCTGCGCAGCAGGGCCACCACCTTCTGCTTGAAGTTCTGCTGCTGTGAGACAAGAGGAACAAGAAGCTCACGTTAGCAATGACAGGGGGAGGGGACTGCATTCCTGGGACACAGCAAGGAATTGCACTCTGGCCTCTCAGCAGTGAAGAACAGGAGGGATGCAGCTGGCATCTCTGAGCATGTGAACTGGGTGTAAATACAGCCACACGCACACTCTTAGTGTCTGAAAACACAAACTGAGGCAAGACTTGCAAACACAGGGCAGGGGTGGTGTCTGATAGTCCACACCCACTGAGGGGCAACCAGCGAAGGGTACAGGTTGGCTCTGTAGTTCTAGAAGCTTCTGCAGCTCTCCGGGCTCTCAGCACCTTCCCACAGCTCCACCTCGCACAAGGGGGCCCTGCCTCATTTTCTGAGGGATACCGCCACCCTGTGGGAGGCACCCAGGACAGCACAGGGCGGGCGAAACAATGGAACCTGCACACTGTGAGTTCAGTGAGGCTGCTCACACTGTTGGCTGCAGAGCTTCTGCTCCAGCTGCTGACCTGCAGGAACTCTCAGCCACCCTTACAGAGCTGACCCTAACATAGGTAGGAGTGTGTGTGTGTGTGTGTGTGTGTGTGTGTGCGCGCTTCCTGCACAGTCCCTCAGGCTGGCCATGAGCTCCAGATGGCGCCGCCTGTTTTCAGGGGAGGCCCGATTTATATCCAGTTCTATACACCTAATTCTGTGCTGTGGTCACTGTCTGCCCACAACCTCCTTCTCACATCTGTCAAAGGCTGACAGTGCTGTCCCTGGTCAGTATTGGCAAGGGGCTACCCATGCCAGCCAGTCCTGTAGCCCAGTTCTGGGCTCTAAGGGGCTCCAGTGCCCACTGAGGGTCGCTGTGCAAGCTGAGAATGGGCTGAAGCCCATCCCATATTTCCTCCTATGGGCAAGGCCTAACAGCCAAGTCTCTGTGCTGGCAGACCACATCCCTCCAAAAAAGTAACTGGTCCCAAACATGGTGAGTCTGATCACTCACATGGTGGTGATGGAGAAAATAACACCCTCAACGGTCTATACATACAGGTCTGTGGGCCAGGGGCAGCTATCCCAGCCTTGTTCCATACCCCCAAGGCTCCACGACCACATACAGTTGGAGTGGGGCGTGAGAGAATGGCAGCAGGAAAGACTTGGTCGAAGGGCAAGTGGGAATTCTAAGAATCTTTTGGGCCATATGTCATGTGAGGCTGAAGTCCTCAGGAAAGGCTGTCTGCTCTCTTGCCCAGAGCCCCCAGTGAGCCTCCCAGCCACTGCCCACCCTCCTCACCCTCCCCCAGTGTTAGTAAAACTAGTTTCCACCGACCCTGGTCATGGACGTCGTTCTTACTATCGAGCGCCGCTGCTTCTTGGGTTTTCCCACATCAAAGTCATCCTCATCAAGATCCTGTGTAGACATGCGCAATGCCTGAGGCTCCGCCCCGCCCACCCCACCGGCAGTGCACACGGCTCGAGGCTTGGCCCCGCCCCCAAGACCCACCTCACACCCAAGCGAGGGCAGTCACCTGGTAGTCAGCTGCTAACACTCTCAAGCCCAGCAGGGCTGCCTACTGACATGCTCTAGCCCCAGAGAAGAAGCAACCAGGTGCCACACATCAGCTCTTCCGCCCTCCTCATCTCGTGCAGCACTGGAGACCCACAGAGCCACGGGCTAGCACAGGGAAGTCCCCGGGCCTCTTCTCTATAGAGGGAGCTATCAGCTGACCCTCCCCACCTCAGGCTCAAACTGTTACCTGCCCCTGGACAGCATCATCGCTGGCTTCTTGCTCAGAGGAAAAGCTCTCATACTCCTCCTCAGAGTAGTTATCTGTGGAGTGAGCACACAGAAGGAAGAGCACCTTTAGATTCCACCTGATGCCATGGCAATGAGTTGGCAACAGAATATCCCTTGGGAGCAGAGGGGAGCTGTAAGGAAACAGCCCCAGGGAAACCAGGGGAACTTGAGACACCAGTGCTGTGGCCCTGAGTACCGAGAGCCTAAGGACAGCAGGCCACAGGCTCTGGGGTTGGTGGAACAAGACAGCACGGGAAATACAGTGACCCAGTTGTGATGGCAAGGGCAGATGGTGGCTGTGGAGCACCTGCCCCACACTCAAGGCACCCAGGAAGCAGGTGTTCAGAGCAGCAAAGGTACTATACAACAGACCCCATGACAACTACATATTGTGGTACGCAGAGCTTATGACACCTGCAACAGCACATCCTGACTTTCTCCATAAGTTTCTAACTAGATAGAAATGCAGTAGACACATCACATCCCCCTGCCTTCTCCAACCACACCGGGACAGCCCTTCTCACACCTGGGCAGGGAGTGGCATCAGCAGCGCCAGGCAGCGGAAGAAGACAGTGGCTCACCTGTGGACTTGGCCTTGGGGCCAGCCTGCATTGCACTATCCTCGTGGTCAATGGGCTGGCTGGACAAGGAGACGATCCAGATCTCAGCCACCTTGACAGAGGCCTCTTTGATGCTGCTGCAGAGATTCAGCACCTGGCCCCCCTCGGAGGGGTGCTGCATCACCTGGGGAGCACAGTTCCAACATCAGGAGGGCTGCCACCCCAGAGAGCTCCAACATTCAGGAGTAGTGCACACCTAGTAGAAGGCTGAGCAGGAAACCAGAGGAACCCAGGGACCAAGGAGATGGGCTGGGTGGGGAGGTGGGTGTCGGGCTCGGTATTTCTGACTACAAGCAGACAGGAGTACACCTAAAGACCACACAATTCCGGCCCCTGCTGCCCCTTGGAAGTCACTCAATACTTCTTGGACCCCACTCACCTCCATCTACTGGTCCATCTTGGGAGCCTCGGTAGCAGCCACAGTGTGTGACTGGGGGTCACCCAACCTTGGGAAACCAAATGTCTAAAGACTCAGGAGGAAAAGCTATCAACATGGGCCATGTCTGCAATAGCACAAGAAGCCCACCAGGCCTGGCTTACTCGAGTGCCAAGACCCTGGCTAACTGTTGTAACAAACTCAGCAAGCTAGCCAGGACAGCAGGAACCAGTACTGGCCTAGACACTGTCCTGGTCCTGATGCTGCCTCAAAAGCAGGCACAGGTGACAGACCTGTCCCTGACAGGGGTCATTTGGTCAAACCCAAATGTTAAAATTTTGTAGAAAAAAAAAAAAAAAAAAAAGGTATCTGGCTACAGTGGGCTTGTGGGAGCATCTTGGGTTGTTGGAGGCTGGCTAGGTGTGACCCTGGATAGCAAGCAGCAGTTCCAACTAAAGCACCTCTGTAGCTCAGCACAAAGGAACCCTGGCTCACCAGGAGCTGGGGACACTGAGTCACCACAACACAGGGCTGAAACCAAGTCACCCTGGGGCAGCCTCCTCCTCTTAACTCCCCACAGCCTTTCTTTTACAAAGTTAAGGTAGCTGGAGAGGCTAAAAAAATAGAGGAGGGCTGGGCGTTGGTGGCGCACGCCTTTAGTCCCAGCACTCAGGAGGCAGAGGCAGAGGCAGGTGGATCTCTGTGAGTTCGAGACCAGCCTGGTCTACAAGAGCTAGTTCCAGGACAGCCTTCAAAGCCACAGAGAAACCCTGTCTCCAAAACAAACAAACAAACAAACAAGAACAAAAATAGAGGAGGGTAGGAGGAGAGGTTGAAAGCTGCTGAGGGAGCCTTAGGGGTGATGGGATACAGGAGGCATGCAATTTTTAAAACCGTAGGTGCTACAGCAGGTGTGCCTTTGAGATGGTCATCCCAGCACGACTTAGGAAACTATAGGGAAAGCCTTAGGTCAGGAGGGCAAGGGACTTCCAAGAGACAGGATGTAGCAGGACTGGGTGCTTAGGCCAGAGGAGGATTCGGATGGGGACCTGAAGGCACAAGTGGCTGAGTAAGTAGGTGCTGGGCAGCCTGGAAGCCTTGGGTAGTTTAGGTTGGGGACAGTCCCACAACCTGGCTTGCAGCCACCTTCCAACTGCAGGTGGCCACCAACACACCTGCACTTCCCCCAGACACTAAATGGAACTACAAAAGAGGAAAGCTCTACAGTCCAGGGACAAAGTGGCCAACGCCGAGCCGCCTCTTCTCCTGGGCTATTCCTGTAGCTAATGAGGCCTAGCGGCTCTGCTTGGAGGCTTCACCTGCCCAGGAGCCCAACCTGTCTCCTCAGTCTCCCCAGAACACAGGGCCTCCAGGAGGCTGCTAAGGTGCTTTTTCCCACTGCCCATGTGAGCTGCAAGGACAGAGTGAGGACTAAGGGGGCACCTGTGTAAGGAGGGAACCCAGGACAGACAGCTCAGCTCCAAGTACTGGGAAGTGGAATACCCTGGCTATAGGCACAGGAGCAGCCATACTGTGCAGCCTAGGACTGGGGACCTGGGAAGCAGCCACGGAGTGGCATCTAGCCATTACATTGGAGCCCAGCCTTGTGGATTCTCTAATGACTCGGAGAACGGCCTATCAGACACACAACAGAAATCGTTCAGTGTTCTGGAGCACTGGACACCAGTCCAGAAACCCACCTCAGCCATGTTGATGGAACCTGCAGCCAGCGTCTTATAGCCCAGGATCGTTCGGTTCTTGTACCGCTTTCTGCGCTGCAGCATGATCTGGAGCTTGTTGCCTTCTCTCTTCAGGAAGTGGGGGTACTAAAGACACAGGTAAGCTCGCTTGAGGTCGGGTGTCACAGAGAACACTAGCCACACAATCAGCAAGGTCCCTGAGGAGCACCTGCCAGTGTCTCGGCCCTCACAGCCCTTCATCAACCCACCTCAGGGATCTGCAACATCAGTGGGGCCACCTTCTGCTTAGTGTCAAGGGTTCCACTCCCACACAGTGGGACATATCTGCTAGTTTTGGGGACCGGTTCATGTGTTTAGGGGCATTTGAAGAAAGCAGGGCAGCTTCTCAGTACACAATTCCCAACATGGCCCTAAGTCTCTGGTAGCCCCCCATATGTGGGAGTAACTAGGTGCCCTCTGTGGATGACCTGTGCCCTCTGAGGGTGACCTGTGCCTTCTGAGGGTGACTGTGCCTTCTGGGGGTGACCTGTGCACTCCTTGGCTAAGCAAACTACCAGGCAACAGCCCCATCTGCTGTAGATTGCCTGTGCCTAGGACCTGCACTTGTGACAGGGGTTTCACTCAGTGAAATCAGTTCCCACAGGATCCTCAGAGCTCACAACCAGAGCCTGGGGTTAAGTTCTAGAAGAGGGGTTAAACTCTAGTCTCCAAGCA